TCGTCTTGTGAGCCTGGTATCCGAATGGTCTCGCATCTGTTGTCATCGTGTGAAAGTCTGGGAGAGCACTCGGACCCACGGCACCCTCCAAAGACCGGAGCTTAGCCCCCTGAAACCCGGCTGGGGGTCAGCACCCTGCCCGATGTGACGTGTATTCGTGTGGCCGGGCTGCTGGGTGTCTTTGAGACCATTTCGAGGGCGATTCGGGATTGTTCTGCCCCATTGTTGGAGACGTGGGTTGCTGAGCCACCTGTGCGTGCAGCAGGGGTGGGGGTGGGGGGGAGCTCTGTGCAGGGGAAAAGAGAACATGATCAGGAAGTTAAGCAGGAAGCCCAGACAGAGAGAGGAAGGAATGGCGTTAGCAGTTTAAAGCAATGGAAGCCCGCCGATTGTTCTTAATTGTCTCGGAGGTCTAGAATAAGGGCTACAAATTCCATGGTCGTAGAATATTCTGTGTTTTTCCTCAATTATCTGAAATTTGGCAATCTGCTTTCAAAAAAGAGCTATACTTTCTGAATCCAGCTGTGAATGAGATCAGTTGTCCTTAAGGGACATGTGGGAACAGATCACTAAGGTGATGGGCTTGTACCTGCCTGTAGGATGGGGACAGTGGTGGGGGTTGGTGGGCTTGCCGAGGGCATCCTCCACCCCCAGTCCCTTTTTCTGGAAGGACAGGTTCTTTTTCACAGGCGATATAATCATGTTCTGAAACCACTCTGCAGTTGAATTCTCTGGCTGGTCCCTGTCTCCCCTTCCCGTATTTCCAGACGCTGCCTCCTGTGCCCCCCGGCCTTCAGGGTTGAGAGTTTGATTTCTGGGGCTGTCAGGAGCCTCACTCCCCCCTGCAGATAGCGTGGCTCTATCAAGAGCGAGTGGGGAGCAAACCTGGGTTTGGGTCTTCAGTCAAGCAGGAGGTGAGTCGGTTTTCTTTGCAGCAGTAGCCATGCGGTCTAGGGCTTTCTCCTGGGGGCGCCTTGGAGTGTCCTGTCCAGCTCTGCCGCCTGTGCTGCTACCTGCGGGGTGTGGCGAGGGGCCTGCTGATCCCTGCACGGCCTCCCTGCCCGGCTGCTTGTGCAGCTGCACGTTTTCTGGGTGGCATCTCTACAGTGAGGCGTTTTCACTGAGTCAGCTGACATCTGAGTGTCTACACTGCAAGGGCCTGTGCTGGGTGCAAGGGAGGCCAGGGGGAGCTGGGTCACTGCACGTGGGCTTGTCCTGCATGAGAAGGAAGACCACCCATGTGCTCACCGGCAGTACGAGGCGGGCAGAGAAGGCAGGAGGAAACTGAGGACCACCTGGGCTTCAGCCACAGTCCAAAGGGTGGCAGAGAAGCTGGCACTGGGCCGGGGGAGCAAAGAGGCCTTAACAGACACCGTGGGGACAGGTCGGGGACAGTCTGGGGGGGGATACAGTGGGGACAGGTTGGGGACAGTCTGGGGGGGACACAGTGGGGACAGGTCGGGGACAGTCTGGGGGGAGACACCGTCGGGACAGGTCGGAGACAGTGGGGGGAGACACCGTGGGGACAGGTCGGGGACAGTCTGGGGGGAGACACCGTGGGGACAGGTCGGGGACAGTCTGGGGGGCGGGGAGGGACCTCCAGCGGACTGTTGCATGAGGTGCAGGCAGGAGCGAGCAGATTCAGACCAGGTAATGGAAGGCTGCCTAGGGATTTTCAGTTTGCCTCTAGAAAATGTAAGTGAACGTGTTGAATCAGCCCCTGCCGAGGGGGGGCGCCGGCCGGGAAGCGGGCCTGCTCCTGTAGCTGCTTACCTCCTGCCTGCCCAGCTCACTTGGGGGACGGCTGTTAACTCAGAGGAGTTTGATCTGGTGCGTGCAGAAGGCACTGAGAAACCGGGGTTCGTATAGGCATGTGTATGCACGTGTGTGTGCTTAAATCCCTGTTAAATCAGTCCAGGCCCTTGGCATCAGTTCAGCTGGGTAATAGGTGTGTGTGTGTGCAAGATGGGGCCGGATTCCTAGGCAGGTCCGACCTCTGTTTCTAGGCCAGTGTTCCACCCAGTGACGGGGCAGCTCGGTGTGTCATCCGGCTGCTGCCACGCAGAAAGGCCCAGGACGCAATCCTGACTCAGGGCCTGGGAGACCTTGGGCCCAGCACCTGAGGACAAAAGCCTGGGACCGCAGGTCTTCGAGTAGCGCCGGGTCAGAGGAAGTCGGAGCCTCTGAAACCTGGCAGCGGTTGTAGGGCTGTGGAGCCCAGGCCGCCACATTCCCCTGTGCCCACCTGCGCCCATCTGCACCCACTCCCACCCCGCCCAGGAGAGGAAAGCCAGATGTGGTCCCATACTGCTCCTTCTGGTTTTTTCCATTGTTCGCTTCCGGGGTCGGAAACAGTTGGGATTGCCCAGCCCTCCTGGTATCAGAGGTGGCTCCGTAGAAATCTCTCCAGGATTCCAGATGAATCTTTTCTATGCCTTTTTTTTTTTTTTTTTTTTTTTTAATTCCAGTGTTGCTCACATCCAGGGTTGTATTAGTTTATGACTTTTTAAGCAAATACAAATACAACTCTAAGAGGGTGTGCCTTTCTTTATGAGAGTTTCCATTCCTTGTATCAAATCCTAGAACAGAGAGGTAGGCATGTGTGAGCTTGCCAAGTCTGAGTCTTGCAGTTGGGTTATTTTATTCAGATCTGAAGACTATGGAGGAGCCCTGGGGAAAGGAGCGGGTGCAGGGGCAGGGACTGGCTAATGGACCAGAACGTCATCGCGAATAGTTGAAAGACCCGAAGCTGCTGACTAGAGAAGACACATCGTTTTTTTCAGGGGGTAGAGGTGGCAGAAGGAAAATGATCTTCAAGTATTTAAAGGGTGGTTGAGAGAAAGTAGATGGGTGTGCGTGCATAATGGTTACGCCGAGCATCATGGCATGCTTGGAGATTTTAACTTGGCATGGAGAAGAGTTGCGGCTGTTGGAAAATGAATGAACTGGTCTGGAGGGTCTCCCTTTCGGGGTTTGAAGGGAGACATTTGGGGTCCTTTCCTGTTCGAGTCTACAGTGGCCATCCCGGTCCTCAAGAAGCAGGTTTGCTGGTTAGTTTTCATCTGGCTGGTGACCACCCTGGCAGGCTTCTACCAAAGATGGCCAGGTGGCTTCCGCTAACTCTGCAGGATTGAGTTGAGGCAGGAGGAACACGGCACTGCACGGGGTGCCGGGTACATCCTCGATCTGCCATTCCTTTCCAGGGTGAGATTCTGCCGGCTGGCCTGAAAGTCCGTGCTCACCAGAGAATACATGCAAGGGGCCCAGGGAAGACAGAGACTTGCGTCCAGAACACTGGGTTCTGTGCCGGAACTGGACCTCAAAACCGGCTGGGTAATTTTTCAAACACAGGTGTCAGGAGGAGCCCGCTTCTCCTCGTGATGCCACACACACGAGCTAATCAGAAACAAGAGTGATGGTGTTGGACTCTAGGATGTGGCCCCGTGGCCTGGGCGTCTCTTTGTTTCCCCACGACTTGCCTGGTCGGGGTGGACTTGTGACAGCAGGGTGCCACTGAGCCGGCGCTACCCTCTCAGACCGTCTCTCCTGACATCTTCCCTGAACGTCTTAGCAAAATATGCTAAGTTCGGGTGCCCTGGATCCATTTCGATGGTCTGCTCAGCTGTGGTAGGGAGATAGACCATGTTTGCCTGGCAGTTTAGCATGGTTGAAGGGTGTGAAGAAGAATATGGACTTTAACTAACACCCAGTCTTGTCATGAGATGAATGCTTTCTGGACCCCAGCTTCCCTTGTGTGAAAGTCAGATGGTCTCCCATGGCAGGTCTCATTGCTGGGTAATGAGAAGGACCGTAGATCTTCTCTTTCTTGGTTTTCGGCGTGCACATTCCCATGTGTCTTCGGTGCTTCAGCCCTTGCTGCACAGGAGACGTTCGATGACTGGTTATTAAAATTGATGGAGAGCTCATTGAAGTCCTCCCGGCGGCCCTATAAGAAATGATTATTCCCTTTTGTCATCAGCCGAGGCACGGAGCTGAGGCATGAGTTGCAACAGGACCAAGAAGCAGAAGGCAGTCTTCTAGCATCTAGTTAGAGTTTCTCCCCCTGTGCCGCGCAGGGAGGTCTACAGCTCAGCAGCTCTGTCCCCAGCGGCCCATCACCTGCTGGACCAGAGGCTGCACCGGTAATAAGAGCCGCTAGTGGTTCTCATGCACTAGGCTGGGCTGCATTTCCAATTGGACGAACCCCTCTGTCTTTGGGATTGATGGGAACCATCCATTTCCTGTGCTAACTTGGTCCTGTTCGCTCGGGACGGGGCTGTGGCAAGAGGGGGACTCGAAGGCGAACAATCGGGTGACTTTCAAATGTCCCTTGATCCGCCCCCAGTTGTGAGAGTAGCGTGGAGGCCCCCAGGCCTCACTAGGCTTACTCAGTCACCTGCTCTGGGGAGTGAGCCCACAACCGTCTCTGGGTAGGACTGACCTTGTTGGAAGAGGAGTCGGAATCCTTCCCTTGGGGGCCTGGAGGCTGAGCTGGTGAGCGGTGGGTGCTCCAGGGGGCCGTGTGTGACACTGACAGCTGAGCTGCTGTCGTTGGCAAGGGGACTCTTGTCCCGGGGAGTTGAGATTGGTTGTGGTATCAGGGAGGGCACCCACGGGGTCCTCTCTGAATCCGATCAGAGCATGAGGAAAGGACACACTTGTATCATGGCGTCCAAAGGGAAATCAGCTGGGGCCACCAGAAGGCGCAAGCCTAGTCCTTCCCAAGGCACGCCCGGGTGCCAGGGTGAATTCCACAGGTGGGGGCCCGCCGCCCCGAAGGTGCAATCCTGCCCCGACACAGCAAGTAATGTCTGAGGTGTGGGCATCCCACAATTAAGGTTTTCTCCAATTTGGAAATCCAAAGCATCCGAGTGATGCTCTGAGCCATTCATGGTACGGAAAGAATGTGCTGGCACCAGCGGACTGCTGGCCGCGTGTTCAACTAAAATTAAACTCTAGTGCTGACTCCTTGTTTTCCCCTCCCCACCCCTTCCCTCAAGGTTGGCCTCCGACAGCTGGACATGTCCTTGCTCTGCCAACTCTACAGCCTCTACGAGTCCATTCAGGAATATAAGGGAGCTTGCCAGGCAGCCTCCAGCCCGGACTGCACCTACGCCCTGGAGAACGGCTTCTTCGAGGAGGAGGAGGAATATTTCCAGGAGCAGAACTCCCTCCACGATGGGAGGGAGCGGGGCCCTCCGAGGGACCTGCCGCTCCCTGTGTCCCCGCTCTCCAGCAGCGACTGGATTCTTGAGTCCATCTAGAAAGGGGTCTCCGCACAGAGGCCACGGCTGCTACCAGACAGCCAGCATTTGCTTCTCCTCCTGAAGAAAGTTCTTCTGCTCCTCCATCATGGGCGGTCGCTGGGTGTGAGCGGCCGGTGCTGCCAGTTTAATCTGGAAGACCCACGTGGCAGTGTGTTCTGATGGCCGGAGTTTGTACCTTGTGCCACATCCTCGGCACCGCGCTGCTCAGGCACTTCTGCCAAGGAAAGATCTTCCTGCATCTGTTCCCCGGGGAAGACCCTATGGGGCATTTTGCTCAAAGCCACTGTTACTGGTTCCTTCCTTATGGGTGGTGGACGGTTTGCATTGTAGGAACTGCCTCTGGGTTGCAACATAGGGAAACTAACACTTTGCGGCTCCCCTTCCACGGTGCATTCGGCGGCCTTTCTCGCTTTCATCTTGTGAGCATCGAAGGCTCTTGAATTGGACTTTATCTGTAAGCTGCACTGCTAACAGCCTGGGTGACTCGGTGAAAGCTTTTTACCAAAAAAGTAAATGTTTCAGGTCATACTCATCGACTGCATTCTCTTAACCTGTCGAAACAACTCGTAGCCTTTGTCTGTCTGATGGAGGGGGAGGGAGACACACAGAGATGTGTGACTGTTGGAAAAGGGAACCTGGGGCAAGCTAATGTCTGTGTCACTCACTGAAAGGCGGCAAATGTTTTTTGTTCTGGAAGATTCTGAACATAAGCTAGTATATTAGCAACTGCCTCTTCCACTCAACAACAATGATCACCTTAAGCCTTAATATATTTATTAAAATCCTTTAGGAACACTTTACACTTTGTAGGTTAAAAAATGAGGATAAAATGATAACCTCTCTCTGACTGCAGTTGTGTGTTCTTTTGGTCTGAACTCCAAATCATCCATTTTCATAACTGGAATGCGTTGAATCCAATCAACTACCAAAAGAAAATTACAGTTTGCTTTCTTTCTTTTTTTTAATGTTTATTTTTGAGAGAGAGACAGAGTGCGAGTGGAGGAGGGGCAGAGAGAGGGGGAGACACAGAATCTGAAGCAGCTCCAGGCTCTGAGCTGTCAGGACAGAGCCTGACACAGGACTTGAACCCACAGACCGTGAGATCATGACCTGAGCTGAAGTCGGGCGCCCCCAGTTTGTTTTCTTGCCATTGAGAATTTGAAAGAGGCTTCTGTCCTCTGTTGACTTATTCTTGGAAGTGATTTATCCACAGCAGACCACCATTTACAGTTGGGTCTCAGCGCTGTCTTCCTACTTCAGAGCCCCTGTTCTCTTGTTTCTTTTGATGTGATAATTGCTTATTAGTGCGTCTTTTGGGTTAGAGAGAGGAGGTAAAATGAATCCTCCGGAGCGAGCATGTTGACAGCTTGTTATGTATGTGACCGTGACCGTGTGTCGGGAACAGGGGTGAGGCATACAGAGAAGGAAGAGCTTTTCTGCTGATCTCCTGTGTTGTAAATAGTAGTTAACTGAGAGACGGTGGCAAATTGCCTTCAGTATGTGGCTCAACCGTTCAGGGGGCACGAGAGAATTAAAAGGTCACCTACCTACCAGAACCTTTGAGGTCAGGCCCATATTTCACAGGGAGTCGAAACTCAGGTCGGCTGTTCTCAACCCTGAACGCGTTAGGATCACGTGGGGGGCTTTTAGAAGCCTGGCTCAAGAACCCTCATCTCCATTCTGCTTTAATTAGTAACGAGTGAGGCCTGGAGCTCTGCGTGCTTCTGGGAATCCCCCAGGTGATTTCCACGGCAGATCCAGTTGCCGTCTAGTGTTCACAGGGGCCCGGGAAGCCGGCATCACGGGAAACACGTGAGAGATGCAGGCTCTCCCACCCGCCCTGGACCTACTGACTCAGGCGCTGTGCCTTCCCAGGATGTCCCGGCGACTCTTTACACAAAATTCAGGAAGCACTGCTTTGTTAGCCCAGCACCGACAATGAGGCTCCCGGGGCAGGGCGGGGTGGGCGAGGGGTGCTGCAGCATCTTCTTGGAGCCCCAGGCGATGGCCGGGAGACTCTGTCCTCTCAGAATGGGCACCCACAGCCCAGTGGTGAAGCTTGCGGGGCTGGCTCAGGCACAGGGAGCCCCCCATTTTAGAATGCACGGCTTCTGGACGCCTGGGTGGCTCAGTCAGTAGAGCATCCCACTTTGGCTCAGGTCATGATCTCACGGTTCATGGGTTCGAGCCCCGCATTGGGCTCTGTGCTGACAGCTTGGAGCCTGCTTCAGATTCTGTGTCTCGCTCGCTCTCTCTGACTTTCCCCTGGTCGTGCTCTCTCTCTCTCAAAAATAAATCCCACCCCCCACCCGCAAAAAATCAAGAATGCACTATTTCCGTGAGTCTGCTGCCTCTGGACTCTTCTGGAATCGCAACCATAGACTCACAGTGCCTTTGACTTTGGGGCCCTCATGTCATTATTGGGGGATAGGCTCTCAGAGCTAGAAGTGGAATGAAGCCAGGTAAGCAAGAGGCCTGTCCCTTATTGTGGGGAAAGGCTGACACATTCCTCCCCCCGAGGGTGAAGTGGCAAATATACATAAACCCCTGTAGGCTTTTGTACTCTATTTGGAATCTATATATATTGCCCCAAACTTTCTCTTACTCCAAAATACAGTGTACTTTTGTAAATATATCTTGGCAAGGAATATTAAAATTTCCCCAACCAAAAAATGGTTTCTAATACACTCCGCATAACAAAGGTCCCACAAGTGATTAGAAAAGAAATTCAGCTGGGGGTGACTGGGTGGCTCAGTCGGTTGAGTAAGTATCAGACTCATGATCTCGGCTCAGGTCATGATCTTGCCGTTCATGGGATCGAGCCCCTCGTTGGGCTCTGTGCTGACAGCGCAGTGCCTGCTTGGGATTCCCTCTCCTCTGTCTCTGCTCCTACCCCACTTGCACGCTCTTACGTGCTCTCTCTCTCTCTCAAAATAAATAAATAAAAAATAAATAAATTCAGCCGGTGTCCTTTATTGCTCCCTGGCATAAGTCATTACCTCCAAGTTTGGAGTGGGGCTACCTTGCTACTCTAACAGTGGCCAGCGCAGGGCCCAGTAGTTGGTAAGGCAGTCCAGTGTTTGCTGAAGAAGCTATAATCTGTAAGGCAATGTGCCGAGCAGTTAAAGAAAGGCACCTTTAGCTTTCTAGGGCACGTGTGCAGTGGACCCCGAGTTGTTCAGTTAAGCCTTGCAATTCACAAATGATGCAGTTCCTCTCTTGTCCCTAGTGGCTTTCAGAGTCCATTAACCAGCCCGACTCCTTGCTTCCATGTTTCTGTAACCTAGGGTGATGCCATTCGTTCGGCTAACATGTACTTAGCCCTGATTTGGGTCACCCGGAGGCAGGCACCGAGGACGCAATGCAGAACCTGGAAAGTCTCTGGCAGTTGCCCCTTCTACAAACACCTAACGCGTGCGGGTGAATATTATGCTGAGGGAAGTACCAGGGGCCACAGGGACCCAGAAGGAGACACCCCCAAATACTGGGGACATTGGCAGAGGTGACGTCTGATCTGACTTTGAAAGGTAAGTTCTTCAAAAGGGAGAGTGGGCAGGCAGACAACGCCATAAGGTCTCCTCAAATTGTTATGTAGAACATCGTGTGCTTTCATGCGATTCTTTTCTCATTTCTGTAATTAAAGCACAGGTTCATTGACTTGCCTAAGGTCATGGCTAAGGGAGCTGGAATTCTCAGATGAGGTTTGTGCTCCATTTGTGTTTGAGGCCCACGCAGGTGCTGGGATGAAACCTAAGATCGTGTGCTGTAGCCCCTTGATGTTAAGTCACGGCACGTTATCTCACGATTTATCGTGCGGGGCTTGCTGCTGATCTTGCTCTGACTCCTCCGTGCACAGGCCTGACTTCTTTCAATTTTTTTTTTTTTTTTGGAGATAGAGACAGAGCACGAGTGGGGGAGGGGCAGAGAGAGAGAGGGAGACACAGAATCTGAAACAGGCTCCAGGCTCTGAGCTGTCAGCACAGAACCCGATGCGGGGCTTGAACTCACAAACCGTGTGATCATGACCTGAGCCGAAGTCGGACGCTTAACCAACTGAGCCACCCAGGCGCCCCAAGCCTGACTTCTTTCAGAGCCTGTGATTATAGGCATATAGATGTGCCAAGTGCACGGGTGACAGGAAGCTCTCTGGCAACCATCGGGCCAGGTGGCCATTCGATTTCATCCTTCTGTCCGAAGAAAACTTACTGATTGTAAAAGCCCAAACACGTCCACTTGATTACATGAAAGATTGTTCCTTGAGTTCGGAAAGATGCATCTGAGCGCATTCTGTACGGAGGTGATAGAGCTTCTGTTGCAAAGATGACAGCTGCAGGCCGCACGTGAGGGTCAGCTGACACCAACGGGGTCACGGTTCCCTGGGTGGAAATGCTACGGGAGTGGCCTCCCGACCACCCAGGGAAGACGGGCTCTGCAAGTGTCAACGGCCCGCCTGGTGCCTTTGTTCTAACCAACTGTGACAATGCATCACCTTTCTGTCTCCCTTCTCTGGCGACCGCTCAGCTGAGGACAGGTCCCTAGATACCCAGTTCCCTGTCTGGTTCTCCCGACTCCCCTAAAAATGAGCACCCACAGAGCATGGAGCAAAGCCTTTATTCAATACACTGAGCAGTGTTAGCAAAATGAAAGCATGAAGCAAGTCAGTAAGGAAGAGTTGTGGCCCTAGGTAGCCTATGACAGAGAGCACAGGGACAAATGTCAGCCTTAGAGAGAAGCCTGGGGACCCCCCTGCTTGCTTGTTCTGTCTCCCAGACGGAGAGGCTCCAGTGAAAGTCCCACAGGAACTCAGAAACCATTGTTATTGAGAAGGTGGGTTCTGGTGGGAGGAGCACTTGTGTTAGAAATAGACAGGGTCAGGGGCCCCTGGGTGGCTCAGTTGGTTAAGCGCCCGACTTCAGTCTAGGTCATGATCTTGCCGTTATGAGTTCGAGCCCCGCATCGGGCCCTGTGCTGAGAGCTCAGAGCCTGAGGCCTGCTTCAGATTGTTTGTCTCCCTCTCTCTCTGCCCCTTCACTGCTCAAGCTCTGTCTCTCTCTCAAAAGTAAATAAACATTTAAAAAGCTAAAAGAAATAAACGTGGTTAAAACCACAGTCCCCTCATGGCAGGGAGCATGCCCCAGTTTCTTTCAGAGGGAACAGCCTAGGAGAAGGGAAGTGAGGACTTAGTCCGGCTCTGTCCCAGGGCTTAGGGAAGAGAGCACCTTTCTTTCTCCTGTCCTCAGGATGATAAGATGCCTGAGTGGGGCTTTGGGAGAAAGGGCGAGGGGGAGACCATTAAGATGGCCTCTAGGGGGCACCTGGGTGGCTCAGTCAGTTAGGCATCTAATTCTAGATTTCAGGTCAGGTCATGATTTCAGTTTGTGAGTTCAAGCCCCGTGTTGGGCTCTGCACTGACAGTGTGGAGCCTGCTTGGGATTTAAAAAAAAAAAAAAAAAGATGGCCTTTAAAATATTGTGTTAGAAAGAAGAAAGCACCTTGGGAATCCCTAAGTCTAGCACAAGGGTGGGAAAACAACCAGGATTTGAGGTTGAAGGGCATGCTGGTGACCCTGCCCGTTTCTCTCTTGTGTGTCCCTCTGCATTGAACCCTGGAATCTAGATGGAGATGAATTTGGAGATGGAGGAGGGCGCTCAGAACCAGACTCAACCTGCAGTGTGTTCCCAGCATGTCAAGGCCAGCAACACGCCCTACGGGGCACTCTCCTCTCTGTGGCTGATCCCTACTTGGCCTCTGGCAGAAATACTAGGGAAGACAGGTTCAACTCCATGCCCGAGTGGTCCTAAGCGGTGTGACTGATTCCTCTCAACTGGCTTCTATCAGACACACCCT